GTTGGTCTTGTTAAAGAAGTCAAACCAACATAACAGTAGTTACTATTTAGTTACTACATATTAGATTTCTGTATAATTTATAAAAATTGACACAAAAACCAGAACATTAATTTTATAGCCTTATAGTTAAAAACTTGCCTTCATCATCATTAAGTTCTTCATTTTCTTGAAAAACTGGTGAGTTATTAGCAATAAACTAATCTGTAAATAGTTTTTCAAGATTTTGAGAGATTTCAATAAAACCTTGACTTGGACTTGAAGATCTAATATCAATTCCACCATCAATTAGATGCCTTATAGCAAATAAGGTCGTATAATGTTTTAACAAGTCCAATTTAATATTCTTGCAATTGGTTCATGGTACTATGCTTTTAATAATTCAATAAACAATTTCTTTTGTGCCAACTCCAGTATTGATGAGGTTTCCATATGTTTGCACATGTAATGCCAAATGAGTATTAATATAAAGATTGGGAAGACCTACAAATTCTTTGAAAACCTAATAATAATTCTTATTTAATAAATTTATACAAATATACTATATAAAAATCTGAATATTTTAATATTAATATATTTGTAGTACTGTATATAGTATAAATAGTAACTATATGGTAACTATAGTTACTATTAGCTATATAGTTTTTTTACAGTTATGATATATTTAAAATTTTTGTATAGCATATAAATAATACTACAAAAATCTGAATATTTGGTAACTAAATACTAAAATACGTAGTAACTATATAGTTACTATTAAATTAAATAGTAACAATGTAGTTACTATATAGGTTCAGTATATTAATTTTAGTATATAATATGTAGTAATTACCTGAGTTAATATTCGAACTTCAGTTTTCAAGGTTTGCTGAAGATTTATGTAATCATTTTTTGAATATGAGTACTTGAATACTATTTGCATTGATTTAGAAACTAAAACCTAACATTTTTTTAATGACTTAGGAACTAAATTAATACGATTAGCATTAATTCTTTGCTGAAT